AATGCATGAGCACACCATGTCCTACCTCCAACATCTTCAATCCATAACAGACTACAAAATGGAATGTAAGTGAGAAAAATAGAAACAGCCCTTTTTTAGTTCGTAAGAGATGCTTCCTTAAATGTGTTTTCAGAGGTTTTGTGTTTTCTGAAATGCTGGACTGTGGGAGGAAGGGGAGGAAGCCAGAGAACACCCACAATGACATGGGCTTGCTTGCGGATTTTAACACAGAATGCTCTTGGTGCCTGGGGAAAGTGCTAACCACTACAACACCATGTCGCAGCTTTAAAAGTTTATTGTCTAAAATGTCGTCTTTCTGATAAGCTGCATGTTTCCTGATGTTTTGTTTTAGTTTTGTTCATTTGTTATTTGACCTCTTGTATGTTGTCTCTCTGGGCCACCATATAAAGAGCCAAAAAGCTGGAACCATCTAAGGGTCAGTCTTTGTTCAACTAGCTTTGACCAGTAAATGTATTTTCATATGAACGGTTTTCATCATCAGTCTTACAAAAAGCTGAAAAAATGTTTCTGGGACTTTTTGTCAATGTTTAAACATAAATGAGTGTCACCTTACTGCTCAATAAAACTTGAGCACCTCATCTTCAGAGGTGATGATTAGTTAGAACATTGATTTGTTTGTTAGCATTTACAATTTCCCTACAAAACAATTTGTCTTCAATCTTTGCTAAAATGATGGTGTAGTGGGGAGGACTTTAGGACCCAGGACATTGGGTGGATTAGGGGAAGATCATTGAGGAAGTAGGGTGTCAGTGGGAGGAGCTTAGATTAGAAAAGGCCAAGCTGGGAGTGTGTAGGCCTCTTTGTCTTTCACCTCTTCTGTGAGGCACACGCACTGAGATCCAGGATAAGAAGCATGCAGCGATTTGATTTTGTGTTATATGTGAAATCAAATAATGAACTTACGTCTTTGTACTCCTCTCAGGAAAGCTGATTTAACACAGCCCTTGTCGGTGAAGATTCTCATCCAGGTCATGGTAATCGTAAGTGCTATATTGTAGGCAACTGAACTTGCTTGCGTTTCAAGAAATGCAAGCAAGTTCAGTTGCCTACAATATAGCATTAACAAACACAGCCCTTCCCACTCAAAATGGTCCTAAAGTTGAGCGAGGGATGATGGTCGCCATCTTTGTGACATAGCAAACTTCTCAACTTTTGACATGGCTGCTGGGGCCAACAAGGAGCCTGTTAGTTATGCATGTTTTTTGGACTAAGTACCTATACTGTTGTCAAATAGAAGCCGTCAGTAATATTTGTTGGGTCTGTAATGATTTGGTACTGCGAACAATAATGTGAGTGCTAAAGCCATAGCATTTACTAGCTAGCTAACTTGCTCATAGCTACGGCAGCACTTTTTAATCAGCATTGACGTTGTGATGTAAGTTTGGTTTATGTGTGTGCAGAAATTGCGGTAAAATGCTGGCAATGATGCTCAAACGTCAGTTTGCAATTCAGTGTTTAAAGAACAGTGAAGAAGAAGAGGTGGTTAAAAACAAACTCCGTCATCACTTCTGGTAAGTACAAAACAGCAGTGTGTGATTTGAGACAATGCTATCCTGTTGAAAAAAATGTACCACTCAATAAGTACATAGTGTACATAGTGTACTACATTAAAATGTACTAATGGAAGCATGCAATTTGAAACACATTTAGAGCCTGTGCAGTAGAGATCTCTGCTGGTATTGAGTTCCTGCCAACCAACCAATTGCAAGTAGCACCATTGATAGCAAGCACATGATGTCAGTCCCCCTTTTAAACATCAAATTACTGGTTAGAGCCAAACTAATCAGAAAAGTTAACACTTGAACAAACTTCAGTGTGATACGAACTCCGTAAAATGACCGAAGCTACCTTTGGGAAAAATTTATTGGACATGTATTTGGAGTTTTTAGTTTGGCCCCTGTCCCTATTCCATCTGCTAACATGGATGGGGTGGGGTTTATCAATTATGCTACAGCTGGGCCACCAGGGGTTGATTAAGATGATTTGGCTCTACTTATAAGGTGCTGTTATGTCGTCGCTCTTTATAATACAGTCTATGGCCTGGTAAGTGCAAAATGGACAAGAAAGCTTATTCCAGTGTTACAAATCTGCTCTTGACTTTTATTTCGAAGACAAGAGAAATCAGTCCCTCTAAAATTATTTTAAATAAATCACTGCATTCACCAGTGGGGTTACTGGTAAGTTCTGAAGCCATTTTATTAAGCTAGCCTTTGCTCATTTTGTTTGCTAACAAGGATAAATGACTAGAGCAAACCTTTAGAGAAAATGTCCCACTGGCCAACAAACCTTTTAGCTATTATGATACAGGTATCACAATAGTCATCTATGGTACTGTGAACATACAGTACATTCGTCACATGCTAAGGCAATTAGCAATAAATAATGTGGTCCTGTAAGTAGTGCAGTGTTGTGTAGTGCTAGTAACCTTGCTATGAAAGTTTGAGGCCAGTTTGTCAAAAAGTCATCGTAGTCTTAACATATCAGAATAGCATGACAATATGAAAACCAGTACGAAATCAGTGAAAAATCAGCAATCTTGATACAATTTGTATGATTTTCTACGAAAAGTTATGCACTTGGTTCATACATTGAATTAACTGGTTAGGTTTAGGAAAAGAATTGTGACTGGACATTTTCAAGTTATTTAACCTAACATGGCATGGCAGTGTGTTGTTACGTACGTAAGTAACTTAAATAATTCAACATCAACTTTTGGTTTTACACAGGAGACAAACAGCAGTCCCAGTACCCCAACTACGTCCCTACATGGACTTTGTCACTCTACATGAACTGACTTCGTTCTTTGCTCCTGTTATATGACAGAAGACAGCTCACAATTAGGTGGGTTATACATGAATTATAATGCATTCATTTTTGTAGGTTTAAGTACGAACAGTAAGTGGGAACAGCCTGCAAAAATACGATTTACGTGGTCAGTGCTACAGAAGTCGAGATTGGCCATGACCACCGCCTTTTTAGGCCTGTTACCTCAAGATCATCACTTAAATATCAAATTTCCTAAAGACATCAAGTGGTGCTGTGGTGCAAAAGGGAGTAACCCTAAGATATCTTTATCTTGTTGAGCCATCTATTTCTGCAACAGTTTAATGGCACCCGACTGGAGACTTACATGTCAAAGCTGATAGAAATGACTCACTGAAGAAATCCACTCTGACGGACCATATAGTATGGAGGCCTGTTATCCTTAGATAAAGATTCATTGACATTATCACTAGCAGTGCTAGCTGTGGAGCTCTAGTACCCCTTTTCCACCAACATGGAACAGGTTCTGTTCTGGTTCCCACACTTGGTTTTGAACCATTTTTAGCATCTTGACCAAAAATAAATTGGTCCGGAACCCAAAAGTTGCTTTCTCAGCTGGAACCAAAAAATAATGTTTTTCTTTACCTGAAATGTGTGTGGTTCTACAGATTGCAAAGAGAGGATGGAGAGGGCAACAATGGAGAGGTCCAGTGAGACATAGTTGGAGAAAAAAAGAGTGTGCAGTGATCTCATTGATTGTTGATTCATGTTTTTTGTTTTTATAAAAACAAACATTTGCAATGAAAGAAAATTTTGCAGGAAATCAATGCAATCCGCCACCTTGCTACTATTGTTTTCTTCTGTTGTGCATTGTTCAATGCCTTCTGTTGATGACACATCCTTGATTACAATAGTTCTGCTCAAAACTGGTGAAATGCGGGCTTGTTTGTTAGATAGCATAAAGGTTCTAAGAATTCTAAACAGAACTGGTTCAAGAGCCAGAGCTAATTTGGTGGAGAAAGGGATATAGGGAAGGTTCAGGGGTGGTTACCTTGGGCCAGACTGACATATTCTGTGAAATAGTAGATAGATAGATGCAATTCTTATTTACATTTATTTTCCCCAGAGGATGAATCCTACTGCTTTTGGTGATCATTTGACTCGATTTGCCTCAAGCACCACCATGAGGTTGACATTTTTGGTTTTTGAGTGAAATATCTTATGTTGGATTCGGACTACACAACATTTTTGTCTTTTCTAACAGTCACTATGTAAGATTAGGTGATTATGGAGTCATAACCAGCCACCAGATGGCAGGGGCTACATTTGAAGTACCGCATGCAACCTATGCAAGTCACTGAATCCTCCATGACCTCCAAATCCTGTACATGTTTCACAATAAAAGCCTTTTTAGAATATGAAGGGATTCTCCACCAAAATTATAAGAGGCTGTTGATTTTAAATTGATATAGGAAGTGTGGAGTTTGAAATGCCAGTGTGATGCATCAAATTTAACAGGGCAAACAGGAGCAGATCAAAGGTAAAAATATAAAAATATAGAGGGAATGATAATTAAATGCCCGGTTGACGAAGTGCCTCTGCTGTTTCACGCTATCATTTTTCCATTTTTACTCTATGCGGTAGTTCCTACAAGAAATATCAAAAAGGCTGGGGTGTTGTTTCCATACATACGTACATGGCAGCAGATCGCTCTGTGTTTCTATTGGTCAAAGGGACTGCTGAACAGGAGAACTCATGGACGACAAAATGAGTGATGTATGCGATAATCCATTGCATACATCAATCCACACCTCACAGACTTTCTGTCTGTGAGGTGTCCCAGACTTGGAATTTGTTCTTGTCTGTTGTCACAAGATGACACAATGGATTATCGCATACATCACTCATTGTCATTCACGATCCAAGCCGACATCGTATGGCACCGCGCCGGGCTATAATCTGGCTGATTGTGTAGTCTGATCTGGAGTTTTCATCTAGTCCCATCATAATCAAGTTTATTTCTTTCCAGTACTTTAATTTATGACCAAATGCCAGCAAAACCACTGTCATCCCCTTCAGCCTTAGTTGTACTAGCAAATGTTTGCATGGTAAACATTACCTGCTAAACATCATCAGAATGTTAACATGAGCATGTTAGCATGTTGGCATTTAGCATTTAGCTAGAAGCACCACTAAATCCAGCCTCACAGGGCTGCTTACATGGCTGCACCCTCTCAGTCTGATTTATTCATCAACATTAAATAACAATATACATTTTTTTGAGATAACAGGCTTAAAGAATATGGTCAACATTTGTTATTGTGACATACTAAAAATTAAACTGTCATTACTGTTTATAATCAAGTCATAACTGATGGTTTATGGGCCTTAAAACTGTATAATCATGGTGATTTTCAGCTAAACAATCATTGCCAGTAAATATAAATACAGACACCCGTTAACTGAGTAGCTCACAGCATGATACACACGCAAAGCATACCTTATCCCTACCTATCAATGTTATACAAAAATGTACTTTTTCTCCCACCAAAGCTGGCATCATCTCAGGAACAGCAGTAATGAGGACAAAGAGCTTTTCAACAGCAGTTGACAGTTAATGATGCTGAAAAAGAGAATTAGCATCCGTAGTTTAAAAACACCATTCAAAAGATTATTTTCTGTGTTTATGGTTTAGAGCGTTAATGAACATTCAAATTGCTGCATGAGGGAAAAAAAAAACACAAAAAAAGAAGTGCTCAATCAATCTCAAAGTCTTAATGCTGAATTTTTGTAGAACTTGCACTTTGCAGAACCAGACGTACAGTACAATAGCATTCTTAGAGTTGGTGTCCCTTTCTGATGCAGCATTCACACTGTCTGTGTGTTAACCTCCCTGGCCTCAGTCCAGATTCGGGAGTGTCTCTCAGCAGTAGACGGACCAGTAGATAAGGTTGAAGAAAATGTACGAACCAGGGAAAATCATCCGGGAGTACTTGTCAATGGCGTGGGTGTTCTGGATGATGTTGAGGGCACGCAGGCTCTTCTTCTTCTTGGTGGTGGTGGACTCACTGCTCACCGACAGATGGACCACCATGTGTTCAGGTTTCTCTGGAACCTCGTGCAGCTCTTCCTGCTCCTCCTCTGGCACCATAGGCTCCTCAGTGTAGCCGGCTAGGCTATTGGTGTCGGCCTCGCTGTAGGTACCATCCAGCATGGTCATGGTTCGTGTCTGGGAGATTCCACAGGTGCAGGGTAGTGACTGATGGGGAAGAAATACAATAAAATCATTATTGGATTTTTAAGGGATTCCACAAAACTTTGGGGAAATTATCAGGTATCCTGAGCCTGAAGGGTTAAAATAAGTAATGAAAACCCATCAGTGTCAGATCGTCAGCTTTGGTAATCCATGGTAATAGCTTTTGTGTCTTGCTAATCGCAGCTCTTATTTATATGGCAGTGATTGGTAATTGTTGGTCACTCCAACACTTTGGTCTAGAGCAACAATTCTCAACAACTACAGGCAACAATACTGTGATATTTGGTATGAATATTGATTGTCCACAGAGAAAAAACTTTCCCAAACAACTTTTTATGTTGGGGCTTCAGGACACTTGGATCACTACGGACGAGCAGTATGGAGATATTTTGTGGTTTCAATGATGTGTTTTTGGATGTTTGAATCTGGGGCGCCGTCAGCCTGCATTAGGTGGAGTTGTGTTGCTACCCCCTCTCCCCTTGGATCTCCGCAAGTGTTGTGAGAACTTCACCTGAGCCTCCATTGGCATATGGGTGAGTAGATAATGGCTGAATTTTCATTTTTGGGTGCACTATCCCTTTATGTATATTCACTGTCTCCATAGGATAATCCCATGTAGTAGTAGTGAGCTGGCTTTTATAAGGTCAGCATTTCTATTTGACTAATACTGTAGTCACTCCAACTACCGTCAACAATACCATGATATCTGGAATTAATTTCACTATCCTCAGAGGATAATTCCTATTAACTGAGTTGACCACCCAGTCCATCGTGTAACACCAAGATTAGAGTAAACATTTCTTCTTGACCAATGGTCAAAGTCTGTTGGAAGGCTTCCCATGAAACATGCTGTGGATATTCATGTTTCAAGGGGATGAATCCCAGTCCCCTCTTAAAACCATTGACAATGTTTATATGCAGTATATCTAAAGGGCTGTGACCAGATCAACCAAAGTGATTATTTTTTCTCTTGTTTTACGGATCTATGAATCTTTAGTGGCCTGAAAAGGTATCATTATCTGGTAGTTTACAAAAGCCTGGAAAGTAAGATGCTTCTGTGTAGTAGAAATATCTCACTATCGCTTACACTGATCGTACAATCTCGATAGGTTCTTTGCTCCAGGTTGTGGCCTACTGCTCTAGTGCATCTGACGAAATTGTTAACTTGAACCCTAGAAATATCTATAAGGAAGACTGCCATGAAGTTGACAAGGCATATTCATGCTCCCTAGGGGATGAACTGTTTCCATTTTGAACACTGCGTGAGCTTTTCTCTACCATTTGTACAGTGCTTTCATACACATGATATTTCATACTCTAATGGCCAACAGCCATCAAGTTTTGAAGCACATTGACAGGACAATTTTTAATTTATAACCTCACTACTAGCAAGGTTTAGCTGCAGGTTAGCAGCAGCTACAGCCCTCCATGAATGTACATGCTGGATTTCATCCATGTATCATGCTGCTGTGCACTAAGGTGTTTAACAGAGCTCAACGACCAAAACTCAATAATGTGTGTAACTGGGAAAAACAGACTTGAAGCGTAAAATGATTCCTTGGGTTGCAGGTACAGTATGTGATTGTTATATTGTTATGCCTGCAGCTCAGTCGCAAGCCACAGATATGCCACATCTGTACTTAATTAGTAGCAGATATGTTACAAATTTACATTTCTTTACATTTCAAGAATGCTTTGGTTAGGCTTAGGCCCCAAAACTGCTTGGCTATGGTAAAGGAAAGATTACGTTTTGGCTTAAAATATCTATTTCGGGGGGCACAATCCTGCTGGAAAAGCAGCAATGTCTCACTAAAAATTCTTTTTGTGGCACTATCCCTGGTGAAAAAACAGTGATGGGTCGCTAAAGAACAACCAGTTCTATGTACTATATCACTTTAGAAACATTGATATGATAGGTACAAAACATGCAATTGTAACATCTTTTGCAGAAATGTACAATGCCAACATTTTCTTCTGGGAACTGGGCTGGTAGCCCATTAGGACAGCTTCATTTCCTAAAATGGATCTGTTCCATGAGATGGGTGCTTGTTCAACAATGTACAGAGAATAGCAAAATGTCCAGTATGTTCTGTCCAACACTTAAATAATTGAGCTGGAACTGAACATTGCGGTCTCTAAAATGACCTTAGACATTCAATCTTGTATAAAATTTCCCTCAATAGCTGGTCACATTTCCCAAACAGGAGGAAACGGTGCATTTGTTGGGGACTATTTCAATTTCAGTTCAACACAAAATACTGCATATTTATTGGTATGCATTGATGTGTGAACCTTTTTCTAGTCTTCTAGTTTCTGGCAAACAGAGAATCAGAATACATAGAAAGTTTAAGTTGCTGCTCACAAATAAATAGTTCTTAGTTTTTTATGATTTTCTGGAGATACTTGATCAACCAAAATGAATAATAAACACAGACAAGCAATTTCAAGAGTATTTACTGTGCAGCAAATGTAATGAGTCTTTTTGTTTCCTAAAGTACAAACATCAAAGAGTGGATCAGTTAAGATGGAAACAGCAGTGGACATTGATTCATTGACTGTGGCAGACCTCCTATCATGTTTACTACTCAGCCTGGGCTCAGGAAAATTAACTTCAGCATCTAGACTGACATCCCCGCATAACCCTATCAAGTCACACCTGTCCGGTGTTTCTGTGAGAGAAGTTTTACATGCACACATCAGAAATCAAGCAGCATTTTTAAAAGGAGGCTGGTTCCTAGTGTCACCCAAAAATGAGATGAGAAACACTGCACACATTACAACAATCCCAACAGCATTTTTGGGGGGTCTGGTGCTCAAGCAAAAACAAACAAACAATAGGGTACCCCTCTCACATCATCATAAATTAAAGGCTTTTTCCAGGTGTCCTCTCCCAGCAAATTTTGAGTATTAACACTTAATTTCCTTTATTCTGGTGAATTTTTCTGCATCAGCTTATGGTGGAAATGTCTTGACACTGCTCTGACACACAGACACACTTTGTCTTTGTCGAAGTTCTTCAATCAGACATAAAATCCACACAGGGCTGAAGAGGAAGAGTTTTTTTGAGGGGGAAGTTTGGTTTATTTACATTAAATCCGGCCTCTTTCTAACATGTTTCTTTTTTTCATGCCTTATTGCATGGCTTGTTTTTATATTTTCTGTCCTTTATACTTTCTCATTAGAACCCTTTGATTTATTCTAAAAATTACTGCTTAATTTCCTGTTGGTCCATAGAATTAAATTCAATCCACTGCCTTAGAATATGTGAACAATTACATTTTGTAGAAGAGAGAACCACACTAATTCTTATAACTATCTTCTAAATATGCTGTAAATATTATTAATGAATCCTAAATAACAGACGCATGCAGCTCTGTGCTCTTCCTCTCCTCCTGCGTCGTTGCACACACGATGTTCCTGCAGCACCAAACCACATCAGATTTCTTAAAATAAATTATCAGCACAGCAGTGTCTTGCTCTGGTCAGTGTTTCAAGTTGAGTTTTGGTTTATAAAGACACATGGAAGAGGGAAAGCAATTCAGTGTCTGTCTTCGCTTGCTCTGCACAGTATGTGAACCCAAATCTGACAGAATGTTGGAGGTAGTCAATGGAATTTTACACCAGACTAGCTTAGTTGTTGTTAAGCTTAATAGTGGGTTGTAGCCTTTGTTAGACTTGCTGCATTTAGATGTTTTAATAGGGCCGAGGCCTAGGGCAAACACTATCTTTACCTGGCTGTCTGTGAAGGCAGGTTAGGGAGATGTGGATGCTGCTCTGCAGGGCACTTTATTTGTTTGTGTGTTAACTGTGGTGGCTGTGACAACAAGGGACATTGAAGAGGGAGGGGCAGGACTTTCTGCAGTCTGGCAGATTTAAAACTCAAATGCAACGCGCTTTTAATTGAGAATTGATGTCATGGGCCAAACTAAAAACTAAAAATAATATATAAAATTAAAAAAGAAAAAAAAAGTCTTGTAAAAAGGGCTCTTATCTAGTCAGAGGCCAAAAGGAGAGGTGCTTGAGCACCACCTGGGGTCTATCTGTGTACGTGCCTGACTCCCAATTACTCCTATGCCTTTGTCATATTTACTTAATAATGATAAATGAAACAAAGAAACAAAAACATTCATATTCATTTTCCTGATGCATTTACTGTTATATATATAACAGTTGAAGTATATTAGTTGTTAGTTTAATGGCCTTTTGTGACCATTTGCAAAATTCCCCAAACTGCACTGGTTGCTTAGTGTGCAGTATCATCTTTACAGTAATCTGCACTCCCTGCTGAATGCTGTGGATTCCATAGTTACTCTTAAAACATCTCTTTTAATTCAAAGTCTAAAAATGTTGTACTCTTATGAAGGAATAAATTATGTGTAATAATATGCAATGACCAAACAACCAAATACCTCCAGAGAGTAAGGCAAGTCCTGAGAAGTCAGGATGGCCGGATGGTATTAAAGAGAGGCAAGATGATCAGAACTGAGGGAGCTGACCTACGAGAAGGCAATATTGGAGATATCCAGGACAGCTACAAGTACCTTGGGATCCCACAGGCTAATGGAAATCATGAGGAGGCCACAAGGAAGTCCACTACAACCAAATACCTCCAGAGAGTAAGGCTAGTCCTGAGGAGTCAGCTGAATGCTCAGAACAAGGTCTGAGCCACACACTGCCAGTCATCAGATACCCAGCTGGGATCATAAGCTGGCCAAAGGACGAGATAGAAGCCACACATATCAAGACAAGAGAGCTCTTCACCATGCATGGAGGGTTGCACCCCAAGTCCAGCACCCTGAGGCTATACACTAAGTGGAAAGAGGGAGGCCGAGGACTAGTGAGCATCAGTGCGACTATCCAGGATGAAACATCCAAAATCCAGGAGTACATCAAGAAGGTGGCTGTTAAGTGAATGCCTCAGACAACAGAAACCGGAGGAAGGTGAAGGATTGGAGGAGCAAACAACATGGAGGGACAAGCCCCTACATGGTGCATACCACTGT